GGACTATCAAATAGATTAAATCCAGCAAGTTAAGACCTCGGCCAGTTCCCTAGTTCAGAAATAATACAGCAGGCAATACAAAACAACATAGATTATATTTAATTTGCTGTATATACCCCAAAAGTAAACACTCTGAATTTGACTATAACTGCCACTGCAAAGATGGGCCAGTAAACAGTTCATCAGTTACTTAGAATAACTTCATTGTCAGTTTAAATGCACACTAATTGGCATACATTAAAATGAAATTTCATGGCATAAGATCAGCCTGATTAATTATCTGGAGTAGTATTTCTCAACTTTCTCAACTTTAAGATGGGTGGACTTCAAATCCCAGAATTCCCCAGCCGGCATCTTAAGTCTACCTATTTTAAAGTGGCCAGGGTTGAAAAAGTCTGATCCTGAGGTAAAACGTTTCAGCTAAAGATATAAGATCAGGAGAGAAAATACAGAAGTGTATCAGAAGAGAGAACAGTGAAAAGCAAAGGTCAAAGTGGAAATTTTCTTAGTCGACTCAGCTTCTGTTGCTAAACTTTTTCCATGCTGGGCTGCTGAGATTAGCCTCCAGGGTGATATCTCTGCTATTTCTAGTTATTTCAGGAAGTAAAACCAAAATAGATGTTTACTCTGACGCTCTGCCATTGCTCTTTCACTGTGAAGTTGCTTCCTTGATATCAGTCATATAAATCAGTGCCGTAACTTGATTTAATTACTTATTAAACTTGTAGGCCGCCTGGCTTGCTTAATGTGAGCTCTAGGAGTCTAGGTGGCTTACATTGATTAAAATGCTCTACAGGTAATCTGCCACTTGCAATCATTCGTTTAGCAACTGTTCAAAGTTACAACGGCACTGGAAAAAGGGGGCTTACGGCCATTTTTCACACTTAACGACTGTTGCAGCCATCCCCATGACCACGTGATAAAAATTCAGATGCTTAGCAACCAACTCATATTTATGACGGTTGCAATGTCCCAGAGTCATGGGCAGAGGTGGGATTCAGCTGGTTCGGACTGCTTCGGGGGAACCGGATGTTAAATTTACATCTGGTTCACGGAACCAGTGGTTGAACCAACCGGCTGGCTCCTCCCCTCCTGCCCCGCCCCTCTCCTCCCAGGGACTCCATGTGGTCCGTTTTGGATGCAGGTAAGTGCAGGGTCTGCGTGGAGGCTCGGAAGGGCAAAAAATGGGCTGAACCGGAAGTTCTGGAAGTCTGGGCCTGTTTCTGGCTTCCGGATAACCTCCAGAGCCCAGAGAAGGCCGTTTTCACTCTCCTAGAGGCCTGAGGGAAGCCTCCGGATCCTTGGGAAGGCGAAAAACGCCCCGCCCAGAAGTTCCGGTAGGCCACACCCACTATGGCCACACCCACTATGGCCACACCCACCTGGGCAGCGAACCGTTGCTGGGATTTTTGAATCCCACCCCTGGTCACCTTTTGTGACCTTCTGAGGGGCACATAACATGGCTTTCATCGCTTGCTAACATAGTTATTTTGTATTTTAATTTGATTTATTTTCACTCTTTTAAAAAGGTGTTTCAGGTTTATTGGCTCTTAACATTCCTAAACTGATAAACAGGCTGGAGACTAACTCCAGATAAGGAAATTGTTTGTTAGTACAAATTGGGATCTGGTTTATTTCTTTTGTGAACTCCAAACAACCTTTTCCCTTACAATTTCCCCCCTTCTGATGTCAGACTTCATTTTAATGAACACGTGTGGTATTATGGGATGCAAATATATGACATGTTTGACTACATGTAACTGATTTTCTATGCAAAGGGGAGGTTACTTTTACCCTGTCCAATCAACTTTCCTCTTGCATTTTCTTTGTTGTGTTAACTCTAACAAAGGAATGTAATATGGGGCGGGAGGTTCTCTCTTTCCTTTTTCATAGAGATTCCACTTTATCAGCATTCCCTAATAAACTGCTTTTAAATGATATTCTGACTCAGTTGCTTATATACCATTTCAGATGTGACTGTCCAGTCCAGAGGTGGTATTCAACCAGTTCTGACCAGATCTAGAGAACCGGTAGCGGAAATTTTGAGTAGTTTGGAGAACTGGCAAATACCACCTCTGACTGGCCCCGCCCCCATCTGTTCTCTGCCTCCCAAGTCCCAGCTGATTGGCTGGGTCTTCTTTGGTTGCCCTGCACAGGAGAACGGAGCTGGAAAGCAGGTTAGTGGACTGGGAAGAGAATATGATTTTGCAGCAATCTTCCCCTGCCATGCCCACCTAGCCACGGCCACCAAGCCACGGAATCGGTAGTAAAAAAAATTTGAATCCCACCACTGGTCCAGTCTTTTCTTAAAAACCTTCAGTGATGAAGCACCTACAGTTTCGGAAGGCAAAGCTGTTTCACTGATTAATTGATTTCACTGTCAGGAAAATTCTCCTTAGTTTTGAGGTTGCTTCTCTCCTTGATTAGTTTCCATCCATTGCTTCTTGTCCTGCCCTCTGGTGCTTTGGAAAATAGATTGACCCCCCTCTTCTTTGTGGCAGCCTCTCAAATACTGGAAGACTGCTATCATGTCTCCCCACCATCCTTATTTTCTCTAGACTAGCCAGTCCCAAATCCTGCTACCCTTCTTCATATATTTTTGACCCCAGGCTTTTAATCACCTTCGTTGCTCTTCTTTGCACTTTTCCCCAAAGCTCAACGTCTTTTTTATAATGCGGTAACTAAAAGTGGATGCGAGTCATCAGGACTCCTGGTATGCTAAGCAACTGGTTGTAAGTTGAGGACTACCTGTAGTCTCCCACAGGATTTGATTATTCTAAATTACTTCACTCTGATTCTCACCCCACTGGTGTGTTCAGCTACAAGTCCCAGAATTTCCATACCACTTGGATGCAGGTAAGTGCAGGGTCTGCGTGGAGGCTCGGAAGGGCAAAAAATGGGCTGAACCAGAAGTTCTGGAAGTCTGGAAATGGCCGAAAAAAACAGGCCCGTTTTGCCCCGTTCTGGTATTTCTGGAAATAAGTGATGAAACGGGCCCCTTTTTTTTCAGCCTCCGAAGGCGGCAGAGGCTTCCTGTGAGACCAGAAAATGGGCCAAAAATCAGCCAGGAGGCGCACGCATGCGCAGCAAAGGTAAGGGACACTTGGGAATTTTGGGATCTGGAGTCCATTGTAGCTAGACTAAACAAACTGTTGTAAGTCAAAGACTATCTGTAGTAACCTTCCCTTCTCCTCTTCCTCCTCCTCCTCCTCCTCCTCCTCCTCCTCCTCCTCCTCCTCCTCTTCCTGTTTTTCCTGCAATAACATCTGCAAATGTATGTAGGAAAAGGTCCAGAGACCCCAGAAAGCTTTCAGGACTGAAGTGGAGGCCACAACCTGGATTTCCCCACTCCTGGCTCTGGGGCTGAAGATGGGCAGATATACAGTATCAGCCAGGGACTGTCACTTGTTGAGAAGATGGAAAAGAGGAAGAAGAGGAGGAGGAAAAGGAAGAAAACAAACAGATAAGGCTGATGAAACTCACGGCAATATGACCAACAACAGGTAAAGCTGCCCGCCCGTCCATTAACTTAGATGCCAACCACTGAAACTACCGAAAGGACTTTCTGCCTTTGAACAGCTGTTGGGCCAATGAAGCAAAGCAACCCAGACCAACGGTCTCTGAAGATCCCCTTCTCTGCGTTCCCCAGCGGGGGATTCTCATGTTGATTTTCCATCTCCTCATCTCGAGAAAGGCAATAGGGCGTCCCGCAGATGAGGCTGGCCAGCCGCCACACATGTGTGTGTATCGTAGCACCCAAACCAGCTGCTGTATTGTTCTGCCTGCCATCTGTGCGTGGGGGTGTGGAAACGACTGGAGAAAGGCTTCACACATATGTGCCCCACGAAACACACCACAGGGGTGTGAAAGAAACAATGCCCTGGGGCAGAGAGCCCAAAAGCTTGCCGCTCGAACGGGATGAGTGTGTGGGCGGCAAATCTGAATGTTGGCTTCTGCAGAAAATATTTTGGCACGGGACAGGGGTGGCAGAGGTCAAAAGCCGGCCAGGTGTCCCCTTTCCCTTTCTCTCTTGGTGGCCCTCCTCTTCAGGGAAACAGATGCAAAGTTCCTTCAGACCCAAAACAAAACCCTGCGGTCTCTTTTTCTTCAGCCCCGTGCGAAATATTCAAAATCCCCTGTAAAATTGGCAGAGCAGAGAGGAAGCCGAACGATGCCCAGGATTTGAGCCGGCCACCTGGGACCTTTCCTCCCAGTTCAGAATGGATGCGGTCCTTTTGCAGCTCCAGCCCAGCCTGAGTCTTCACGGTTTGGTTTTGAGGGCCTGCCAGATCTGCGGTTGACGTGAGGGCAACCTCAGGCGATAGTGGAGGGGGACTGAAGCCATGCCGAAGCTTAGCGGCCTGGCCCACCCAGGCTTCCCTCAGTTCTTGCATGGCGAGGCCTTGTGGGAGTCAAAGCGTCTGGCTGGAGATCCGCTGGTTCCTTTTTGTTGTTGTTGTTGAAAAGCCGACAGCTGTGGGTGATATTTTCTGTCAGGGCCTGAAACCAGTTCCTGCCTTTGTCCTATTGTGAAAAGCCACCACGGTTCGTTCGCAAAGGCCTTTGCCGTGCTCCCTCTCTTGCCGGTGACGCCCTGCCCTGCCATTTCGCACCTCCCTCTCTTTCACACCCCAAATATCATGGCCTGGGGGGGGGGGTCTCTCTCTCCCTTTCTCCCTCCAGAACGCCCTGCCACCCCCTCCCCAAGCCCCCTGAGCGTGACAATGGGCCCATGTGTTTCCGTGGGGGGGTGAGGAATTCAAAGGGGGCGGAGGGGACAATGGGCCCCTGTCTGGGCCACTCGCCTCCTCGGCGGGACCAGGGTCGGAGGGCCATGACTCACGCCAGGGGATGAAATGCCAGGGGGCACGAGGGGGCTTTGCCAGGCTGCAGGGGTGTATGGAAGCCATCCAAGAGAGGTGGGGACTTGGCAGCATCAGTTCACACACATACACACACACACCCCACCACCATCCAAGCCAGCCTGAGCCGACAACTTCACCGCAGTCAGCAGCTTCTGCTCTGGAGTCTCCAGGCTGGCTGAGGATACGGAGAGCCACGGAAACAGGTAGCCGGTGCAAGAGGATCCGTGAGCGTGCGTGAGAGCGGCTGGGCAGCCTTTTAGGACACGGATCCTGATCACGCATGGATATGTATCACACTGCGAAGTGGGCAGGAAAAAAAAAATGTAAATATGCAGGGCGCTGCTCCTGTTTTAGGGATCTGAGTTGCAAATCTCTGGATCACCAGCAGGGGCAGCAACCTTTGAGTGCTCTGAGTGGCTGTGTGGTGGCACCCTCTAGGGGCCATCCAGAGTCTTGCAGTTCAGCCATAACTTGTTTTTTTCCTGCCCTCTCCGCTCTTTTGCCTTTAATGGGAGCTTGAGAACTTGAAACTGGGGCTACTTCTGGGCTGCAGAAGGGAAGACCCCCCCTCTCTTTCTGTCTCTGTCTCTCTGTCTCTCTGTCTCTCTCCCTCCCTCCCTCCCTCTCTCTCTCTCTCTCTGTGTGCGTGAGATGTCAGCATTTGGGTCATAAATCACGATGGCAAAACTTTGGGTCTATGTAGTAAGTAGGAAGGGGGAAATCTCAGCTGGTTGTGTTACGTGAATTTTGAGTAAGATCCTAACAGAGGAACTTGATGCTCTGTGTTGTCATCCAATTTCCTGGGTGTTTTGCAAATTGTGATACACACACACACACACTCACACACACACACACCACTGCAGAGCTATGGTTTCTGGAGAAGTCAAAGGATGACTGAGAGGCCCTTCCGAATGGGGGGGGGGGGGATTCCACAGAATCCTTTTCTGCTGGCTAAGCATTAGGGACTGGGCCAAAGAGACAGGAAATATAGATTTCAACCCCCTCCCCTTCTGTCTCTGTGTTGCCTTTGTCATATTTTATTGTTGTCTTGCTTAACCCTTTCTTCCTTCGCTCCCACAGGTCCTGGGCTCTGAAGGCTTTCCTGCCCGCTGGGAAATGGGGAGGCTAGCCACCATTCCCATTGTCCTGCTTTGTGGGAAATTCCTTGTTATATTCCTTCTCAGGGAAACGCTCGGCCAGAGCAAGCAGCGAGAGGGGTAAGGCGATTTTTAGAAAGAAGGGAACTAAGTAATATCGAGCTCATACAGCAGCCAGAAGGTTCAATTGCACTAAGCAATTCCTCTTTGTTGTTCTCGGGAAGCATCTGAAAAAAAAATTATTTTTATGCCTTGAAAACAATCGAGAGAGACACGTTTGCGTAAAAACACACAACCCTGGCGTGAGTTAACCACTCGTTCGGCTGTGGTTGGCTGCTGTTGGACTTGGCGCCCCGTGCGAACTCAGCAGATGAAAGTAAAGATGCAAAAAAAAAAGGAAGTCCCTTGCTTTTGTCAGGAACTAGTGTCTGTGGAATTCATGGCCACAAGAATATCCTGAAGATTGTAACACTTAATTTAAAAAAAAAAAAAGATTCATCAAATAGAAGAAGGATGGATAATTCTTTTGTTGTTCTTTTTCTCTTCTCGTGGCAGAGCTCTTGCTAAATTCTTCAAATTCTTTTAAATAGAGGTAGTCCTCCAATTATGACCAGTCAGTTAACGAATATTGGAAGTTCTGATGGAGCTATCTGGGGGTCATGTGCCCATACTTTGGTTGCATTCAGCAGTGGGAGTGCAACCTGTTCCACTTCTGGTTTAATGATTGTGCATGCACCCATGGTGGGATTCAATTTTTTTTTTTACTACTGGTTCTGTGGGGGTGGCTTGGTGAGCGTGGCAGGGGAAGGATATTGTAAAATCTCCAGTCAGAGGTTGTATTTGCCGGTCCTCCGAACTACTCAATATTTCCGCTACCGGTTCTCCAGAACTGGTCAGAACCTGCTGAATACCCACCTCTGGGAAGGTTACTGCAAAATCCCCATTCCCTCCCCACCCCACTAACCTGCTTTCCAGCTCCGTTCTCCTGTGCCGGGCAACCAAAGAAGACCCAGCCGATCAGCTGGGACTCAATGGGAGGCAGAGAAGAGATGGGGGCGGGGCCAGTCAGAGGTGGGATTTGCTGGTTCTCTGAACTACTCAAAATTTCCACTTCCGGTTCTCCAGAACCGGTCAGAACCTGCTGATCACCACCTCTGTCGTGCGCACCTAACGCGCATGTGCAGCTTTCCCCACACCAGCTGAGGCCTGTAGCACCAATCAACTGAGAGGATAAAGAAGAGAAAAGTGCAGGGGCGGGTGGCAGGGCCGATCCTGCGCTTTTCTCATCTTTTTCCTGTCATCTGATCCTCGGAAGCTTTCTTTTTTACGACTGGTTGGGCCGAACCAGTAGCCTACCACCACTGGTTGCATGGCAACCAGCCTCCATTTACCGCTGCTTGCGGTGTCCTGCAGTCACGTAATCACGTTTTATGACAGTTTTGATAAAAACTGCCTTTTTTACTTCTGATTTGGGCCAAACCGCGCTCATGACAAACCGTTAGTTTGCTTAACGACCGTGTTGTTTGCTTAACTGCGGTGATTCATTTAGCGACCGCCACAAAAAAAGCTCCTAAAATCAAGTCAGTTATTTGACCACTTTACAGTTATCATGAGTTACGACCTTGATGAACAGGCTCCATTACGGTCCTAACTTGAGGACTCCCTGTCAGATCCATGTATCTGTCATTTCTTCCCTGTAGTAGTGATAATTGTTAACTTTACAATCCGTTGAGTTTTTTTCTTGGCAAGGTTTTTGGAAGTGGTTTGGCCCTCGCCTTCTTCCTACAGCTGTAAGAGTGGTTGGCCACTAAGTTACTTTGTGCCTAAAGGCAAGATTTGAACTCATAATCTCCCACTGTTCAATCTAGCAACTTGGAACATTGCTGTACGCATTCCGGCTCTCATAATAGTGACCATTTTTTAAATTAATGATTGATTCTGTGGCATCAGATGATAGACCTTGTCTCAGAAACCCAGGTGGTCCTCGACTTACGACCACAGTTGAGCCCAAAATTATTTGTTAAGTGAATTTTGTCCCATTTTACGACCATTTTTGCCACGGTTGCTAAGTGAATCGCTGCAGTTGTTAAGTTAGTAACACGGTTGTTAAATGAATCTGGCTTCCCCATTGACTTTGCTTGTCAGAAGGTTGGCAAAAGGTCATCATATGAACCCCCCCGGGACACTGTAACCGTCATAAATATGAGTCGGTTGCCAAGTGTCTGAATTTTGATCATGTAACCATGGGGATGCTGTAATGGTCATAAATGTGAGACACAGTCATAAGTAACTTTTTTCAGTGCTGTTGTAACTTCAAACAGTCACTAAGTGAACTGTTGTAAGTCGAGGACTAGCTGTAGTAACGTTACTCATGGAAACTGCTTTATATTACTTTGCTCCCCGAGCAGGTAACTATTTAAAGGTAGAAAAAAATTCTGCTAAAAAAAAACGTTAGTTCTCTGTTGACTATTGTTCCCAACTACTAATCGGACTTTATATTAGCACATCTGATACTCATAGAGGAACAGCAATATTTATTTCTCTGGTATGGAATTTTCACTTAGAATAAATGTAGTTAGAAGGACATAAATTGCAAATTGCTATGAAAAAGTAAATCGAAGCAACTGGGTATTAAAAAGAGAACAGCCCAAATCAAGACAGATGGTTTGCCTAAAGTTGAAAACGGATTTTTCCCCACCTCTTCAAGAGACTTTAATAAACATTACATGAGGTAAATAATTGTTTCTATTCAACCTCATTTCTGTGGCAAATAGAACTACCGTCAACTCGTACAATATTTCTATGCCTGTTTTAGCAGTTGCCATTTTAAAAAGTGGGGGGGGGGGGGGAGAGAAGGAAATCTGGAAGAGCAGTTTGAAAGAGAAAGTACATTCCAACTCTTATCTTTAAAAGATTGTAACTGAAATACCAGAGTTTTTGCCCGCAAATATATTTAATGATGACACCCAGCCTGTTATGGTGCTCAATTGGAGAATCTGATTTATGAGACACCCGGGGCGGGGCGGGGAACAGGGTCACAGGGGACTGCAAATTACGTATGCCAGAGTTGGCTTCATACAGGGCAGTGCCGGTAGGTTGCCTCAATTAAATCCTTTGAAGTTTTTTGAAGTTTGGCTCGAGAATCATGATTTAATTAGGGCGATTGCTGGAATCCTGACAACTACAGTATTTTTTTATTTACCTCATCTATCTATGAACTTAACCTTTTAAACCTGTTGGACTAAATATGAGCAGAAGAACAACGCAAAACCTTTATCAGATAAAACCATCATTTCTTGAGAGCTTGTCATCTCTTACCTGCCAAAGCAAAGGGTTTCCTGTCCCTGGAGATTGTCAAGAACAGATTGGACAGCCATTTTGTCCAAAATGGTATAAGGTTCTCCTGCTTGAGCAGGGGGTTGGACTAGAAGACCTCCAAGGTCCCTTCCACCTCTGTTATTCTGTATTATGGATTATTATTATGTATTATTATGGACCCCTAGATTTAACCACCTTTGGAAAAAATGTGTGTGGAGATTCTCAGTCATCCAAGTTATGGTTGTCCCAAAGGTGCTTTTTCAAGAGGCAACTGGACTTCCTCTGTTTTTCCTTGAAGACGTTTCACTTCTCATCCAAGAAGCTTCATCAGTTCTGACTGGATGGTGGGAGTGAGGGATGGAAGGATTATATCTGTAAGTCCTGCACACAGGTATGATGGTTGGGGAAGAATCCTTCCACCACCACCTCTCCCTTATTCAGTCAGAACTGAAGAAGATTCTTGGATGAGAAGTGAAACGTTTCTCCTCAAAGAGAAAACCTTTTGAAAAAGCACCATCAGAAAAAAGATTCCTGATGTTGTTTTTGGACTTGAAAAGCCTCTAGAAGGAGCGAGAGATACTTTGAATAGGGAAGCTCTCCACAGAGTTTTTTTTTCCCCCTCTTCTTTCTGTACCTGCTTTTTCTCCGCTCCAAACCACACACCTGAACTCAGAGCTTCCCTTTTCCCAGGTGATGTGGGAAAGAGAAAATGAATAATTGCTAGAGGGAGAGAATTCAGAGGAGAGGGTAGTAGGTTTGGTGTTTGTTGGATCAAGTCAGGGTTGACTCCTGGAGGCCGTGTGGACCAGTGGTGGGATTCAAATCTTTTCATTACCTGTTCTGTGGGCGTGGCTTGGTGGGCGTGGTGTGGCTTGGTGGGCATGGCGGGGGAAGGTTACTGTAAAATCCCCATTCCCTCCCCACTCCACTAACCTGCTTTCCAGCTCCGTTCTCCTGTGCAGGGCAACCGAAGGAGACCCAGCCGATCAGCTGGGACTCAATGGGAGGCAGAGAATAGATGGGGGCGGGGCCAGTCAGAGGTGGCATTTGCCGGTTCTCCGAACTACTCAAAATTTCCGCTACCGGTTCTCCAGAACGGGTCAGAACCTGCTGAATACCACCTCTGGTGTGGACCAGTCCCTGAAGTTTTCTTGGCCAGGTTTCAGAGGGCTAAGAGGAGACTGACTGACCTAAGATCACACAGGTGGCGTTGGGCCTAAGGCAGGACTAGAACTCACAATCCCCTGGTTTCTAGCCTGGAGCCTTCACCACTCTATCAGACTGGCTCCATGAAGAATTCAGCCAAGGGTTAAAACGTTCTCCTGCTGCTCTAGTTTTTTTTCCCTCACCAATTCTGTATGGATTAAAAAAAACAGAAACCTGCTTTTTCAGTGTCCTTTCATTTCTACCCGCAGCCGAGTGTGCGCCCGGAATATGTTGAGAATCCCCTTAGCCTACAACGAGACGTACGCCAAGCCCCAACACCAGCCATATTTGACGCTGTGCCCAGGACCTCGTGTGTGCAGTTCTTACAGGTATGATCAAAGTTTTACTCAGACGAGGAGCCAGGAAGGATCTGTGGGTCCTATCATTGTGGCAGAGGAGAGGGAGAACTACAACAGGCTAGCTTGGTGGCTCAACAGTGAGACACTGATGAAGTGGGCACAGTGGCGCCTGCTTTTTCTGCATTGCCTGAGTGTGTGTGTGTGTGTACATCTTCCTTCCCCTGTCCTTACCACTTTCTATAGACGGACGACCGAGAACATCCTGGTCATATGGCATTACTGTCTGGTTTGGAAGCATTATTGCTTCAGACAGGAAGGCGGTGCAGAGAGTGGTGAGGACTGCAGAAAATATTATTGGTAGTTCTCTTCCTTCTATCCAGAACACGGCATATAGGTGGATGCTTGAGCAGGGTGTGCACGGCGCAGGATTGTCTGGGACGCTACACATCCTCTTCACCACCTGTTTTCCTTGCTACCTTCGTGGTATCTCAAGCAGAATATCAAGATTCAGTCACAGTTTTGTTCCATGTAGCATCCACCTTTGTGAACGCTCAAGTTTTCTCTTTCCACTATGTACAGTATTTGAAATGGACAGAGATAGAGAGAAAGAGATAGATAGATAGATAGATAGATAGATAGATAGATAGATAGATAGA